AATATTGAATAGAATGAAGAATTCACATATGGTCGAGTCTATTTATATTAAGTAAATTTTTAATACTATATTATAAATAAACAAATATACTTCATGATTTGGATGAATCAATAATGCTGAATGTACGATTATAGCTTGCTCAGCTATAACAGCACATTTGCACGTAAACATAAATTCATCAATAAAGCAACTCCATATTCTAGAAATATAAATAAAGGTTAAAAAATGGTGTGGGTGTGAATGTGGGTGTGATGGGTGGGGGTAGGTGCAGGTTTGAGTAGTTTCTTTCTTGACACAAACACCCACACCCACACTCACACCCACCCACACCCACCCCACACCCACATCCACACACACCCTCAAGTCGATTTCTTCAGTAAAATTGTTGCAGAAATGTTGTTCCCAAATACGGATGTGACAAATTTTCTCTGAGAAGGGATGGAGTTCAGTTCTTAGGAGTCCCCATTTTTTTCTTTCCGATATATCCATGAGAATGGAATTGCAGATAGACTGGTACGTGTGTATATCAGAGTGCATATATATAGATGTGGCTCTGCTAATGTATTAGCAGATTTTAATAGACCTCCATTAGATGAATATCATTGGAAAAACATTGCGACATTGGTCCGGACAGATGGTTTGAACTTCCTTTTTTGGGATATGCTTATCTTTACTGCAGCTGTTTGTTAATGATGAATACTACTAAAACGAATACTGTTTAGTTTGTTATCATGTTTTTAATAACAATCATATCCGAACTCTAATAATTCTACGCCTTTCAGATTAACATTTTTGTATTGCCGTGTTAAACATGATCATATTCTTTCAGTAGAGGGCTTGCGACGCTAACATCGCGCTACCTTGTAGAAAATATGTAACCAATAGAAAGTAATGTGGTACTACCAATCACTTTTAAGGCGTTCGTTCTCTTTTGTTATTGCTCAAATTTTTTTCTTATGATGACATACATGAAGTTTCACGTGGCTCTTTTGCCTTCCTTCGTTGCCATTTTCTGTTTTTTCTTGTTTTTGAGTTACTGATAACTTACTTGATATGATTATTGCATTTTGTATTCGTTACGGTTAACTGAAAATTGCTCGTCCAAAAATTAGATTTACTCATGGAATTCTAGATTGAAAGTAAGCTTTTTGAAATTGAAACACAAGAAATAGTCTACAGTCATTGTTATCGTTTGTCACATTCTACAGCTTATGCGTCATACCTGCAAGACGAGTTCTGTACAGCAACCTTCTCCGATCGACTGCTATATTTGATCATCGTACGGTATATAAAAGAAAATGTTATGTAACAGCAGTTTTGTTAGCAACATAAAAATACCGATTATTTTAGGTGCTCGCTGCAACATACATCTCAGAATCATAATCGACACCAATAGACTCTATTTTATATTCATAAAAATATTGCAAATAATCATGATTATGAGTATTGAACACATAACGATTGTCCTCTTCTTTCAAATTCGGAACACTAAAAGCTCGTTTAAAATCTTATCGTGGGTTTGTAAGCGAGAAAAATTTTTGCTCTGAAGGCTACATAGTTCGGTTCTTTTTGCAGAATACAATCCGAAAGACGTAAAAGTTTTCGAAAACGCATTTAAATATAAAAACGCCTACTTTCTGTCGATTTTAGACCAGTATCGTTATTAGCAAAACGCATCCTATTCGTTGTGAAGCGTATACAAATTTTGAACCTATTTTCTAATTCAGAATCAATATCTTGTTATCATAAGCTACTGAGCTAGTAAAAAAGAATGCCTTAAAAGATAATTTCATCATACTTAGATATACTATTACTTTAAATAAACTATCAACTGTATAGCAAGAAGTTCCATTGTCAGAACACGTTCTGTTGTCAACTTAGTTTTCATATGATTAGTAGATGGATGTAAATCATCATTTAAATGAGATAAGTTTTCTAAAGGAAAGTTTTACAGTAATCAATGTGAAAACAAGAAATCGTGTCTACGAAGTTTTGTACACTTTTTCATCGTAGAAACCTCATACAAAATGACGTTTTGACAGGCGTAGCATTATGTTTGTATTGTATTATTCTGCACAGAATTGAAAAAGATCATTAATGGCCTAGATAGTTAAGTGTTGAATCGTTTACAATCACTCATATACGATGGAATCCGTCGAGAAAGCGTGCGTGTAATACCGAACCTTTACGGTTTTTTTTTAATTAACGAATACAATATAAATCGACTGCAAACATGATTATTTATTGTTGTCTCTGTCACTGATATCATTGCCCTGAACAATATCGTGTTGCTTTCGAGATTCCTAATGTATTTTGAAAACTCAGAATCGTAGATAGCCAGTTTTTCCTTTATGTCGAAGTATTTTTGTATCGTACCTTGTTGCTAACGTAAACGAATTTTTGAAAAATGATGCACATCCATTACCTTGTTCTAGATTTAGAAAAACGTCTTCACTCGATGCAAGAGAACGACGGTCCGATTTCATGGCAAAAAAGCGGCACTGGTTTCAGTTTCTCAGCTTCGGAGCCAATGGAAGGACGTGAGATGTATTTTTCAGAGCCATTAGGCACCACAAGTGTTGTTGTGGTGGTAACTCTCCTAACCGAGAATGAGCTCAGAGTAGTCTTCAATGACGAGCCAATATCCTCAAGAGGTACTGAGAAAGCAGTACCCTGCTTCGTGATTGGCCAAAATGGAAATAGTAGAACGACAATACGTGCAGGTAACCCAGGTGTGATCTTGGCTGAGACGAAGGAGAAGCGAGCGCTGCTTCCAAATGAGCCAGAAAAACAAATAACTTTCTGGTTTTCGTTCGATGCGAACATAAGAATCGCCGCCTTTGGATTAGGAAACCATCCAGGAAGCGACTCAACGCTTCTCGTCGTGTCCGATTGGTGTGAATGCTTTGATAGGACGAATTGTCGCCTGTTTGTTGGTCTGGCAAACTGGAAACAACCGATACATGTGTATCTCTCACAGTACCATACATCTGTGTTAGGACTCAACAGCTATCCAGAAAAGTTTAATGACGATAAAACAGTAAAACCTTTCCCTGGAGTGACCTGCATTTGCAGGGTCAACGAGACAAGTCATGGCCCTTTCGTTATTGGGGCACTCGTGCAAGCCCAGGAAATGCTAAAAGCAACAGGACCGACAGTGGGCGGATGTTTTTCCTTCCTTCCACCTGATAGTTTTCACATGACTTTGGCTGATCTAGTGACTCCAAAGAACAGATTCACTCTCTGTCCAGAGATTAAAGGTGATATGAGACAAATTGGTGAAGAGTTGTGGCAGAGAAGCAAAGATATAATGACCCTGTCAGCTTCGAATGTATTCTACATGAAGATGGAAAGCGTATTACTTCGCAATAGCTTAAGCATCCGCCTGCGGCCCTACGATGAAAAGACAGCTGAAGCCATGGCAGCATGGAGAGATTTCATGTACACACGTTTAGGTGAGTAAAATTCCAGTAACTAATATTATTCATGGCACTGTTGATTTCATCTCTTTTCTTCACGCAGGATTTACGTATTCCAAGAATTATGAATTTCACATCACTCTGACCTATCGAATACTTCCAATCAATGACGCGGGCGCTTGTGCTCTACTTGCGGAAACGAAAGAAAAGATACACAACATGCTGATCAAGAGTGGACAATTTTCACTTCTTCCCGTCGGTCCGCCTGAATTATGCACATTTGAAGATATGTCTGCTTTCCAAAAGATCTAAATATGTTTGCTTGTTGCCTGTTTCTAACAAAGTATAAAACTAAATCCAAGCAAATAACTCAGATTTTGTCTGCCATAACTCAAATCACGAAAAATAAAATTGATGATGATAGAGGGTGATGGATCGGCTGTGAATCTATCAACCATTATCATGCTTTCATACTCGCTGAAAGAACTCGTCAGCCATCAGCTGTAACTCTACAGTAATAATACAAATAATTCGAAAATCATGGATATTGTACTATATTCTGTACAGGTAGTAGTATATAAAGGATATTTACCACTGTATAGTTTGGACGTATGAAATGAACTATAGCGATATTTTGGTTGTAAATGTGGCTACCTCTCATTCGCGAACATAAAGAAAATGAATTTTAAGTAAATCCAGGAGATAGAGCAGTAGGAAATAAATAGGAAAATAAAGAGATAACTGCTGTAAATAACATATTTATTTATTTATTTATTTCAAAGAGAAATAAAAAAAGAGAGATTCGAGCTTTCGTGCCCTTATCTGGAACACATCGTCAGGAATGAATTGTGAAAGAAGTCGGGAAGCCGGATCGAAGGTGTAGATGTCAATTGATGTTGAAGTAACTTGTTCATAATTTTTGGCGTATATCTTCTTATATTGTTGTTGTTGTTATTGAGTTCAGACTATATAAATTGATAAGACCATAGATACGTGCATAGACAAATAGATCCATACATTAATAAATAAATAGATAAATTAATAAGACCATAAATAAGTACATAGATCAATATGTTCATCCATAAATAGATTAATAAGACCATGAGTAAGTAAATAGACAAATAAATATATCAATATATAAATTAATAAGACCATAAATGAGCACGTAGACAAATAAATCACGACCATGCATATACAAATAATCCAATACATAAATGACTTAAATTAATAAGACCATCAATAAGTAAATAGATCAGTATATTCATCCATAAATAAACTAATAAGACCATAAATAAGAACATGGACAGATAAATCCATACCTAAATAAATTGATCAGACCATAAATAATTAATTAGATAAATTAATCAATACATAAATAAATCATAAGATCATCAATAGACAAATACAACAATACATAACGGATATAATATAATGATTACTAAGAATTTTTTTTATCCTCATCATTATTGATATCTTGAATGACTGTGCCGGGTTAACTTAGATCAGAAAGTGGCATGGGCAAATTTGAATATAATGAAATTTTGTGAATAATTTGTTGGTGTGTAAAATGGTTTTCTTTCATTAATTAATAACAGCAAGATTTCTTATTGAAATATCAGATGATAATTCAATATTCGAATTAATAACACATTCAGTAATATTTGATATTTGATCATTTAATGGTGTAGATGGATCAAATGCACGAATAATTAATGACTTATATGCTTTCTGTTCTTGATCAGTTAATGGAACAATATTTTCTTTTTTATTTTTAAGGTAAAGATTCATATGTTAATAAATACGGAGATGTTTTATATAAGATGGACATGGAAAATGAGTACCGATATTCGAGATAAATATTATTACTGTAGAATAAATTGCTTCACTTTGTGATATATCAATGATGGTTAAATTTATTGGATAGATATATAAACGAGAAAGGGATTCATCAATAAGAACAAGTGATTGATTTGTTGGATCAATGGAAACTGAACCTAATGGATCACCTTGAAGAATTATCACATTCGGTTGTATTTTTGTTCCTTGATTATTATCACTAATTAATTCAAAATTTTT